ACCACAGGGTAGTAAGTGCCCGCACCAGTCCAGTCCGCCGCTGCCTCCATACCACGAAAGACATAAGGCAGGACAGAGGGAGGGAGAAGAGATCCCGAAGCGGGGAGAACCGGTAGGGTCTGGGATAGGAAGAGAATGAGGCCTCCCATCAGAGTCAATAAGGACCCTTCTTTCTTTCCATGGCAGAATATTAACATGAGATACACTCTGAAGGTCATTAATTATGTACAGAGTGCTCTGCAATGACCTCCAGAAAAGTCGTTAGAACTGCTGTGTGAATCCGCACGAGTTCCCTGAAAACACAGGGCCGCATGGGTGACAGCGCTGTTACAACTCAAAGCCCTGCTGCAGTTTGGGCCGTGTACAGCCTTCTGGACTCAGCTTTGTCATAGCTTGCTTCCTTACAGGAACCACTGGGAAATTGCTCTGGCTACTTCTGTGTAGTGGATATTCCTTTACAATGACACAAGATGATGTGAGACCACACGTGTATAAAGCCACTGGGGGTGATATTACTTAAACTTCTCATATAAGATCTTACTTATCGTAACACATGGGGTGTGGGAAGACGCCCAGAACTTCCAGGGCAGATTCTAGCCCATAATGCCATGAGGCTGATGTCTGATATGATGAACTTGACTTTTTAATTTAACTGAGTATGGTCCAAAAATCACTGCAATCAAGGAGGACCCATTTGTCAACTAGATGACAATTGTATAGTGTTTGGTTATAATCCTATAAACTACTCTTCTTGCAACAACATTTAAGGCTGGCTCGGATTAAGGAAAACTATCCTGCTATTTTTTTTATATCGTGCTTATGAATGTCAAGACATCCAGTAGCACACTTTCTCTGTAATGGATGGGAGAACAGGTGGCAGCCCTTCATCATCTTACTAGACCTTGTTTTGTTCCTGCCTGGCTTCCAGAAAGGATCTGAAAAAGACTATAGGAACTATCGGCATGACAACATTGCCATTTCCAGAACTGAATCTACACCTGCAAACTTAGAGGAAAGGGCACAAACACAGGAAGCGATGAAACTGGGTCCTCCATTCAGAGTGTCTCCTTTGGATAGCATTTTAGGGTGAATAGGAATTTCTTCAGAAACACCTATTTCTAATTGTTTCTATTCCTACGAGACCACACACACACCCCCTAGTAAACAGAACTATAAGCTAAGATTTTTGGTTTATTATATAATTTAATGTTTCTTGATACTTTATTGACTTTTTGTGAATGTCCTTACTGGTTATAGCTTTACAATAGTCATTTAAAATTTTAATAACAATAACGTAAATTCTTTAGAAATTCTATGTGCTATATATTTATAAACTTCATGTTATATGATTTTTTAACTACATAGGAGGGTTAACTCGTTCACATATTGAAATATTCCAAAGTTTTGGTTTTAAATATGTTCTGTGGATTTTAGTTTCCAATTTATTTTGCTAATTTACGCCAAGCTTTGCCTGCAAATGACATATACAATTTTAAAAACAATTTTATATTCAACATATCAGCTATAATCTGTCACATGCTGTGTGTCAGGTCTATCCTAAACAGTTTACACTCTCCCAGTAATCCTAAGGCATCATTATTATATCCCCATTAATAAAATGTTATAAACCTAAGCTTTAGACAGTTAAGGAGCTTTTGCATGAAGCGCAAACTCGGGTCTGAACCTGCTATTTCTCACCCAACACCATCTGCCAGTATTTTGTGTATCCCTTTGGACAGGGAAAGCATCTCAAGAGTGACAATTTGGGGATGGTGATAGACGTTAGCATCTGAGCTGTCCATGTTACAGATGAACAATAGGTGGACAAGAGGGCAGGCCATGGTAGACAGACAGACAGACAGACAGACAGACTAGAGGACAGGCCATGGTAGACAGACAGACGAGGACAGGCCATGGTAGACAGACAGACAGACTAGAGGACAGGCCATGGTAGACAGACAGACAGACAGACTAGAGGACAGGCCGTGGTAGACAGACAGACAGACAGACTAGAGGACAGGCCGTGGTAGACAGACAGACAGACAGACTAGAGGACAGGCCGTGGTAGACAGACAGACTAGAGGACAGGCCGTGGTAGACAGACAGACAGACAGACTAGAGGACAGGCCATGGTAGACAGACAGACAGACTAGAGGACAGGCCATGGTAGACAGACAGACAGACAGACTAGAGGACAGGTCATGGTAGACAGACAGACTAGAGGACAGGCCATGGTAGACAGACAGACAGACAGACAGACAGACAGACAGACAGACTAGAGGACAGGCCATGGTAGACAGACAGACTAGAGGACAGACCATGGTAGACAGACAGACAGACAGACAGACTAGAGGGCTGTCTACAGCTACAGTACACATAGATTCCAACCAAAGGGTTTTATTTTCTAGAGAAAAAAAAAACAAAACCTTCAAGTCTCACTTGTAGAAAGGTCAGTCTTGAGTATCATGAGGATGGTTTTATACATGGAAGAGAATAATAAGAAAGTAGAAATTGTGCAATTTGACCCCTAGGACCCTACAAAACAGTTGTCTCCCTAACATGATCCCCAGCATCGCCCCTGGGGAATGGAACAGGCACTCGCTCCTGGAGATGGGCTGAGCCTATCAGGGAGTGCTGGGGTGCATGGCCCCACAGCCAAGAGCCAGGTCAGGAGTTTCAGGGTTCCTCCAGTGCCTGACAGTCCCCAGCTGCCTGTTCCTTCCTGTTTCTCCCCACACTGACAGGAGGGATTTTCTGTTCTCTTTAATGTTTATACAGAACCTCCCACCTTGGCTCCGTGTTACTCCTTTACCAGTCACAACTCACAGAGATGCTCAGGGGGAGGAAAAAACTGGACTGAACTGAATCTTAAACCAGTGTAAAGCAGGGTCTCGTTCCTGCCTCTGGCCTAGGATCAATACACAGCTGCATAGTCAGACAGCTTCTGCTCCTACTGCCTTCTCCCTAACACAGAAAGACCTATAATGTTACTTCATGGAAATGTTTCAAGTGACAGGATCAAAGTAGCCTTGTGTAAATGGCAAACACTGAGGGCTAGATCCTTGAGCAGTCATATGTTCAAGGTTGCTCACAGCAGTTTCCATGGAGAATCCATGTATGAACACACCTCAATAAGAAAACGCTGTAGGTATGTGTCTCTATAGCTATAATTGTCCTCTGGGGCCCTTTCTTTCTTCCTTTTGAAAGATTTGTTTACTTGTATTCTCTCTGTGTGCGTGATTGCCTGAGTGTATGTACGCACAGCATGTGTGTGCCTGGAACCCATGGTGACCAGAAGAGGGTGTCAGATCCCCTGTAACTAGAGTCATAGATGGCTTTCATCTGCCCAATGTGAGTGTTAGGAAACAAAAATTGTGCCCTTTACTTGTGCTCTTAGTGACTGATCCCTCTCTCCATCACCACTGGGACTTCCTCAAGGAACAAAACTCTGCTTCAACTTCAAAGGTTTGTCAGATGGAAGCCCAAAGGGACCCTAAACGCAACAAGTCTGCACAAGTCTGTCCTAAGAGTCACTTTAGCCTTATGCAAATTCAATTCTCCCTATGAAATACAGAGGAAATAATCAAAACTAAGTCAACTCCATCAAATACTGGGGCCTCAGCCCTGTGCTAACTTTCTCTCACCCCCCCCGTGTGTCTTCCTTTTCCTCTCCCGTGTCCCTGATTGATGTGTTGCCTAAAGGAGCTGGTGATTTCACTCAAGAGAGATGAAAACTATACGTCTATACTTGGCCCAGCTCCCAACAGACGTCATGTGATTCATAAGCAAAGGCAGCAGTGGTCAATAAAATGTGGTAACATGGTTATCCAAAGAACCTTCCAGCTCTCCCTCCACCCCTCTCCCATCCCTACTCACCCCGGGAGTCCATCTGCAGCAGAAAAATGTGAAGGCACTAGGACCAGAGAGCCCCTTCCTGCTACTCGCTTGAGAAACAAAGCCTTCCCTCCTCCCAAGTTGAAAGAAATAAAGGAGAGTGGACTAACGGAAGCCTGCTGGCGGAGCTTCAGCTTGTCAGTGACGAGACTCAGCGGAGATAGTAACGGCTCCGAGCTTTGCAGAAGATTGAGAGAGGGAGAGAAATGGAAACAGAAACAGAGAGAGAAAGAAAGGCATTAACCTGGCCAGGAGTCAAACAGGTGCTTGGGGCCCAAACGCTGACACAAGATGACTTGAGATATAGTGGCTGTGTGCCCCTGTGGAGTCATATCTGATAATTAATGTGAGCAGAGTGCATGTCAGAGTGAGTGGAGAGACTTTTTCCCCCTTATTTATAGGACTCATATGGTGGGGTGAGGGTCTTTAGCTTCACTCTATGTGTCTGATGGAGTCTTTACTGAAACTTTCTGGCTCCCGCTACTAAATTCTGCTGGATGGAGAAGAAGGTGGCCAGCTCATTTCAGACACACACTTCCACTGATTCACAAGCTTTGGGTGTCTTTGGAGTGATGGATTCGTGACTACTGGGGCTGCCACAAAGTGACAGTGTGCCTTAGTCTTGAGCTGCCGCATGCTGCCTTCCAAGGCTCCTCTGGGCCTCCCTGTGCTGGGAATGACTAGGTGTCATAAGTGTCCTAATCTCGGAACTGGTCACTGTGGCGTCTGGGCTAAAGAAGCAGAGGGTAGTGTCATCAGTCTGTACTTTGGCTTATAAACAGAGGAAGGCCTGGTATGTGACCTTTGGGAGAAGGCTCTAGTTGTAAGACAACACCCCTCAACTGGGATACGGTTCAGCAGGACACTAACTGGGTTACATAAAGGTTATCTTGAGGAAAGCATGCCATCTCTGGTGGATTTTCATCTCTTGAATTAATAATGTTCAAGGGTTTGGTAGCCCAGTAAATTCAGAAAACCCGGTGCCTAATGTCACATGCCTCCAACAGGCAGTGACTGCGAGCATAGATAAGCCAGGCTGGTTCCATCACCACCCCCTACCCCACCCCTGTGCAGAAGTGGGCTTCTTGTTAAAGCTTGGTCTTTACCTGAAATGCGCCTGGGCACGTCGGTGATGGCAGGTAGCCCGGTGCCCCGTGTGGAAGACAGCGGCGTGGTGGAGTGGATGGATGGGGACGTCATCTGGCTCAGGTATGAGGGGTAAGACTGGTCATAGGACCACGGTGGGGATGATTGTGCCTGCCTGGGGTCTGTGGGAAGAAAAAGAGGAAAAGCAAAAGCAACTCAGTATTCTAGCTACCGCAGCCTTGCAAACATACAGCTCAGAATGTAGACCCAGCACAGAAGAAAAAACGAGACTACAAAATAAATAATAGTAATAAATATCTCCCACGGCCTCTCCCTCTTAGGCCTCAAATAGCCCAGAGCTCTCTAGACTTGATGTCTCAATGAACGCGACAAAATGGGTGTACATAAGGTACATTTGTCTCTCTTATGCATAAATATTTCTATTTGGAAAGTCCAGTGGCCGTTTAGAAAACAATCCATTTTGCTTATTTTACTAAGTGGAATTTATTTTATTTATTCTCTGTATTTTCTAAAATTCCTTTCCTGAACATGTTCTTTAAATCACATTTCTCTATCAATTAACTTGTGTAACTTTGCAGAAAGACGTAGACTACTCCTTTAACTGCTGTTTATCTGGCTGCCATGCGTCAGCAGTGCTTTGTTGGTCCTAAAGTGTATGATTCTGTGCTTCTATTACAGTGGGCTTTCTTCCTGGGAGGGTCAATGGAATGAATGGCATTTTCTAACGGGGCAGGGCTGGGGGGGCAGGAGACAAGGATGGGGATGAGAATGAAGGAGCACACTAGCTAGAAAGGAAGGAAGCAGAATGCATTATCACACAATAAACAGAAAATAACCTTTGAGAAAAGGCAAAAGTCAATTTTAAAACCAACTCTGATTGAATACTGAAAAGCTTCACCACCATCCAGGCTCAATGTCAAACACATGAGTTCCTGGTGGCAGGGTGATGACCCCAACCAGGAAAACATTTTAATCACACTGAGATCTCTTTTAAAAGTGTCATATGTTAGGACTGTGACTTCGTGTTCTCCATAGTCACTGACAATAAAAGCTGTGGGCGGGGAACTTCTCAAGGTTAATTGTTTGTTATATCTCCTTAGGGTTTCTGAAAGGTGGAAACTCAAGACTAAGTGGTTTAATAAAAGGCCATCCATTTTGATAAGAAAATAGACGGCAAATTCGTTTTGTCTTCCCTTAGAGCCTGTACTACCTGGGTTTCCCAAGGGATCACCCATTCAAGTACTAAATAGGCCCAACCCACTTAGCCTCCTGGGTCAGGTGAGACTGTATATGTTCAGGGTGGTTTGGATAGAGATGAGACAGTAAACTTGTTACTGTTTTAATCTTCCTCAAAAGCTAACAGAATCATAAGCAATTTTCACCTAATTAGTTTTGAATGCTAACTTTAAATGTTTATGCTAATTTCAAAAAATAGTTAGCTCTTACCAGCTATAATTTGAATATAGATGGGCTGAAATGCTCACACCTAGGTTAGAATTACCTCTGAGATTTCCACTCTCTACACGGCCTTAGCCACACAGACCCTGGGCTTCTCATCCACAAAGGGACTCGTAATAACCTGATCACAAGATTAAGAGAGCACTACGACAGGAGACTTTTAGTACAGAGCCATCCCTTTCTAAAGATTAGTGTGTATGTCTTTGTGTGCATGTTCACATGAGTGCAGGTGCCTGCAGGGGCCAATAGAGGGCATTGGATCCCCTCGAGCTGGATTTACAGGCAGTTAGGAGCCATTCACCGCGGCTGCTGCGAACTGGACTCCTGCACCTCTGGAAACACAGTATGTAACCCCAACCTCTGAGCCGTCTCCCCAGTCCTCCTCCTTACATTCTTATCTTAAAACAGAACAAACAAATAACAAAATACTCTTCATAACAAATTGTTCCATACTTAAAACACATTTGAGGTGGAGTACATTTGGAATAGGTATAAAATTCCCCCATTGATTATTATTGTTTGAAAATTAACATTTAATTTGAAAAAAATGTATCTGAGCAATAAATTCAGGCTTATTTCTTAAAATAAAAAATGAGTACATAGTAGGACTAGGAATATTCCTGGGCCATTTACTCTTTTAAAACCTCTAGGTTTTTTCTATGCAGTTGAAGCTGTTGAGTTTCAGCTATTTCTTGTCTATTTGTTCAGTTTGGAAACAATTTATTTAAAGACTATCTAAATAGGACATACTTCCTCTAGTGGAAATAATTAAATACATCCGGATATTTATCTGATGTTTACTGACATTACTAGATATGGGGGCCACCCAATTCAAGTTGAAGGACCATTTACCTGAGTTTGCGATTCAAGAAAAAGGTAGGACTGTATGAACATACACTTCCTTCAGAAATATGAAAGATACTTGATGATTAAAAATAATGAATTTCTGTGCTTTAAAACTCTCAATGTTGAGACTGTACAGACTGGCAGCATTTCAACTCTGAGTGACTGGTCCTTATTATCCTCAGATACTGATATATCCCTAGCCTTCCGCCACAAATGTAAGTTACTATTTAGAGAAATGGGAAATCATCTTCAGATGGTGAGGGGTTCATTCCTTACAGAGCAGGAAAACTGTCTCGTAAAAGCAAGAGGCTGGACTCGATCGAGCACATTCTCAACAGATGAAAGAGACAACCTCGGCACAGCTATGAAAGGGGGTTCTGCAGGAATGAAAGCTGGATTTGCATAGTCCAGATTTAGCTGCCCGGGACAACTTCCCAAGCAAGCAATTTGATCTGTGCACCTAGTCCTCAATGCAACAGGATGTCAGTGGAGTACTCCACCTTGCCTAAACTGGGGGAAATCACAACGAAATGCCAGGAATGACTGTAATGGTTAAACATATCACAAAGGTTGTCACACCCAGCCTTAGTCTTTCTCCTTGTGCAGAGAGACAGTCTAGTACAGTGGGAAATGAGCAGGCCTTCTAATGAGAGAATGAGGGCTGGGGGGCCACCCCACTCTTCATAAGCTGTATGACATCATCAGTCTGGTGAGCAAACTCTCTGAGCCTTCAATTCCCTCATCTGGAACACGAGGCTCCACAGCATGCCAAAGCTATACCCATTGGCCATGAAGACAGCCTGAGGCTAGCCTTACAGCTGCCCACTGTGTTGAGTAGGTCACCTAAACTCCTTGCCCCGGTGGTTTATTTGTGAAATGGGAATAATGATCTTAATTGGGGTTTCATGAGTATGGCATGAATTATGCCAGATCTGATAACCCATCTGCCTCTCACAGTACCTATTAAGTAGATAAGAAAAGGTGTGCCATCTGTAAAATGAATACAATAATAACTACTATTGTGTTTGAGAAAATGGATGAAAACAAAGCATTTGATAACTTCTATGATATTTGTCTAGATCATTATTGGGCTTTGTTAAAATCTTTATTGCCCATTGAGAACCTCACATGGACAGATTGACCTTGTGACCTGGAATGTTTCACTTAGAATTGCTGATTTTAAATGAAGGTGGCAATGTCATCTCTGAGTTAGGCCCTTACAGCTAAAATCAAATAATACACAGTGAGTGACAAGTCAGCATCATTATTCAAAGAAATAAAACTCTAGCTCAATACTATCCCTGGACTATCTTTGTGCACATGCAGTTACTAAATATTTCTGAGGTCAGATGGCATAATTAAATATGTCCTTGAGGAGACAAGTTACTCAACAATGAACTTCCATGTGGCTTGAATAAATACCACAATAATAAAACATCATAATTAATCAGTCTAATTTTCTCTTAAGCTATGAAAGAGTTATTGTATAAAGGAAGTTTTACATAAAATTTCTTCCTGCCAGATATTAACTTGAACAGTTTGATGAAGGACAACCTTTCCCAAAGATGCTCTCACTAACAGTGATCAATGGGAAAGTACTCTATCTCCCAGAGTGTTGGCTGAAGCCCAGCCACTCTCTGTCAAGGTCCTCATCCTAAGACTGTATAACAATGGTGGAGGGAGGCGGGAGAGAGACTAAAGAAAAATAAACTGTAAGAAGTACCATAGTGTATGCACTAGATCAGGTATGAGGAACAACAGCCTTAAACTGCAAGAGAAAGGTCTGAAAACCCCAGGCCTTACCTAACACTCGGTGAGTAGGCAAACAGACCATGAATCTCACAGACACCATTTCTGGGCCACAGGCTGGACAAATGACATCCTGTCCCAGCTTCCATTTCATCAGCAACACAGGGAGAGATAAAACCTCTTCCTCCAAAGCTTGTGAGGACCGAGTGAAAGTGTCACCAGCTTAGTCAGAGCAGGTCACTAAAGCCACCACTGAGGGCCTATCTCTGCAACACACCTTCAGGCTAACCAAGAATTAACCGGAAAGCTCTTGCCAGCTCAACCCTGGGTCTCTTTGCTTAGTCCCCCCTGGGGCTACATGGCATGGCTTGTCTTTCTGGAAACATGAGGCAAGCATCAGGAGCTGTGAGTAGACTAAGAATAGTCTTGATTTCAATGTCCCAAAGCATGAAAGTTTCAAGCGTGACCTGGAGATTACATCCTAGGGGACCAGCAACGACCCAAAAGCATCTATAGTCTCTCAGAAGATGTCAAAAGACAAGCCTGCTGCTGAACATTTTAAAAATTATTTTTAAAGACTTATCTGTCTATTTTTATATTTATGTGTATCGGTGTTACGCCTGCATGTGTGAATGTGCAGGTAAAATGTGTGTAGTCCTCAAGGAGGTGCTGGCTTCCTGGAACTGGAGTAACAGATGGTTGGGCTGTGGCCTGAACCTGAGTCCTCTGGAAGAACAGCAGTGCTCTTAGTCACCGAGCCATCCCTCCAGTCCCTGGTTTAGACTTTTTCTATTGTCACGATGCTCTCCAACTACAACTCACTCTTTATGTGGCAACATCCAAAACCAGCATCCAAAACATCTTACTGCATTATAGAGCTATAAATGTTTTTTATGTCACTATGAAAGTTCGAAAACAAAACCTTTAGTTGCTATATTTATGTGCGCACGCTCACTGGTGTTTGAGAAATCTTAAATACTAAATTATCACAATTCAATATCACTCCACCACTGTTTCTGCACAAACTCCTGCCACCTAAAACAGAGGGGTCTAGCAAGGAACTGAAATCGAACTTGACCTGTAACATAAAGTTGAGAGGGAAAAATCA